TCCAACTCCTGGGCTTAGGCGATTCTCTTGACTCAGTAGCTGGGACTGCAAGTGACTGCCGCAACACCTGGCTATTTTTTGTTGCAATTTGGCTGGGGCTGGGTTTGAATCCACTACCCTCAGTATATGGAGTCAGTGCCCTACCCACTGAGCCACAGGCACTGCCCAATAATATAATTCTTGCATTTTTTTTGATTTATGTAATTAAATTCTATTACATTTTGTGTGTTTACCCATATTATGTATTAATCTCTTTTTAAAAATTTTTTCTTGAATCTTAGACTTTGTATCTGAAATCATTTTTCTTCTGCCTTTCTGAGATCCACTTTTAAGAATTTCATCTATTAAAGGTCTATTGGTGACCTTATCTTTCAATTTTTTGTTGTTTGAAAACAACTTTACTTCACTGTTTTCTTTCTTTTTATTTGTTTTTAAATAAAATCATACTTCGATAATATATCAGAAATAAATAAGTCCCTTCCATTGGTGAATAAAGATGACATTTTGAATCACTGGGAAAGTACAATGCACATTTGGGGAATTTCTGGAAAATATGGTGGAAATAAATGTATCAAAGTTTATGGGCTATGAAATGTGGGTAAAAAGTTCCTAACTCCCGGCTTGGCGCCTATGGCTCAAGTGGCTAAGGCTCCAGCCACATACACCTAAGGTGGCAGGTTCGAATCCAGCCTGGGCCCACCAAACAACAATGACAGCTGCAACCAAAAAATAGCCAGGCGTTGTGGCCAATGCCTGTGGTCCCAGCTAATTGGGAGGCGGAGGCAGGAGACTCGCTTGAGCCCAGGAGTTGGAGGTTGCTGTGAGCTGTAATGCCACAGCACTCTACCCAGGGGGACAGCTTGAGGCTCTATCTCAAAAAAAAAAAAAAAAAGAAAGTTCCTAACTCCCTTCCACATACACTGTGGCTCAGGAAAACTAAATAAATGGAGGCTTATTATTTTTCCTAGAATATTCTTTTTTTTTATTGTTTTTCTCTTTTAATCCCATTCTTTTAACCTGATCTCTCAAAATTATTATTACTATTTTTATTTCAGGTTAATATGAGGGTACATATGATTAGGTTACATAGTTTGTTTTTGTAAGGCAAAGTCTGAGTTATAGTTGTGTCTTTCACCCAGTAAGTATACCATTTACCCATGAAATGTACCCATTGGCTCCTTCTCCCCACTACTTAAAATTATTGAATTTTTCCTCTCATGTGAGCATATAGTTGTTAATCTGCTAGTTTCAAATTAGTACTTAGTACATGTAATGTTTGCTTTTCCATTCTTTTTCATTTTTTTTTTTTAGACAGAGTCTCATTTTATTACCCTTGGTAGAGTGTCGTGGTGTCATAGCTCATAGCAATCTTAGACTCCTGGGCCCAAGTGATCCTCTTACCTCAGACTCATGAGTAGCTGGGAGTACAAGTATTTGCCACAATGCCCTGCTATTTTTAGAGACAGGATCTCACTGTAGCTCAGGCTGGTCTTAAATGCCTGAGCTTAGGTGATCTACATGTCTCAGCCTCCTAGAGTGC